AAAATGAACCAACCCCTGTCACTGACGGAGAAGAATACGAAGAAGAAGAGGTAAGTTCCAGGAGTGTTCCAGGGTATTTTGGTGTATTCGTTTTTTGTAGAATATTCTCACACATCGCTCTATTTTTTCTGTGCATGTAGGTTGTGGAAGACGAAGTGGAAGAAGAGGTTGTGGAGGAGGAAGAAGAAGTAGAGGAGGAAGTGGTGGAGGAGGAGGAAGAAGAGGAAGAGGTAGTCGAGGAGGAACCAGCTGCTGCCCCAGCCCCACCACCGCCTGCTGCTCAACCCAGATCATCTGATGCAGATGATACGGAAATCAACCCTCACGAGTGGAGCAAACCAGATTGGACCAAAAAGCCAGTTTTGAAAGAATCTGAGGTCGGAGAAGCAGCCAAGTCTGGAATGAACTTGGCTGCCGAGATTACTCATGTCAACAAGGAGAAAGACGAAGGACGTGATGTCAACTACGACGCGAATCCGCTCTATCTAAAGTCCACCGACAAGGGAAGTGAAGCCCGTGCTACGGGAGATTTGCAAGCTCCCATTACTAACATTAGGGAAACCGGAGATGACAAGTTGGCCTGGCAGAAACCAGACTGGGCCAAGAAAGGACCCAATCTCAAGGGAACCGGAAAGGATGCTGCGGCAGATTTGCAAAAACCCATTACTAACATTGCCGATGAAGCAGAAGGCGACGACAAACTGGCCTGGAAGAAACCAGATTGGGCAAAAAAAGGACCAGGCTTGAAGAGCACTGGAAAGGGAGGACAGACTGATCTACAGACTCCTATCACCAACATCAGTGAGGTGGCCGAAGGAGATGACAAGCTTGCCTGGAAGAAACCAGACTGGGCCACAGGTGGCCCGAAGCTAAAGTCTACGGCGAAGGGTAAGTTCTGCCACTTCCATTTCTTGCGATGGATTGGTTTTTAATGAGTGTTGCAGTGGAATTATCTCACCATTCTGCACCAATCCATGACACAGGGGAAAAACTGAAGGAAAAAGGAAACTTGGAGAGGCCCATCACCTTCCCGTAAGTTGGAAGACCTGAAGAAACGATATACAATTCAACATTTTGAACTGTTTCTAACCATCTTTGTCTTCTTCTCATTCTGCAGGAAAGGGAAGAACTAGAGGGGTCCACTGCATTGTTGTTCACCTTCTTTGATCTGAGACTTGACGCCGCAGAATTATACAAATGGATGTACCGGCCAACGGTTTAGCTTATTCCAACCAATTAACATAGAACTGGATTGATTTTCACAGCTATGACTTGTCTATCTTCTCTGTTTTTTAGTGTCTTCACAGTTGGTGCCTGTGCTGGTACATGCCACCGCCGAGTATTCACCATTGTCACTAGTTTCAGGGCTTGTTGAGCAAGCACCAAACTGAAGCATGCTTGTGGCAGATGGAGTTTCTATCGGAACGCTGTCTTGGGATAAAAGGAACAGAATAACTACCGACACACGGAGAGATGAGATGCCACCAACCGAAACTGACTTGGGGGGAGGGAGGCGCCACTCAAGGAAACAGCAGTTTGCAACCTCGAGAGTTGGCAACCGAGTAGGATTCCGTCCATTTATTTTTAAGGCAATTACTCAGCAAAGACTGCCAAGAAAACAGGAGCTACTGGTACCAAATATTCAACTGGTTGAAAGTTTGAAAAGGTGAGCAAGGATTTGAAACGAGCCTTTCAAAGACACAGCTCGCATTTTGACCTGGAAAGAATAAATACTACTATTTGAAAACAGGACGAAGACCAAAATGATCTAAAGCTATGGCAAGTGCTGCTTGGTTTCTTCTATCCAAATTGCTTTGTTTTCTCGTGTTTCGATTGTGACGGTGAAATGGAAATAGCCCTTTGGGAGCCCAGACTCGAGCTGAGAATTGAAAAAAATCATAGGAATTCGTTTTGCTCCCTCTTCCAAGCAATGACACGGTTGAGAAGATTTTATTCTGCATGAAATGTATTGAACGGGTTTTAAGCAAGCAGACATAGACCCGTGGAGCTGTCCGTGGCAATTCACACAGGAGTAGCAACGAGTCTCTCAAGGGGTATGATTTGGCGTCATGCCGGCACCATGTGAAAGGCAGCGAATGCAGATTGTCGAGGCTGTGTGAAATCTACCAGTCTGCTGTGTTTCTGAGCCTCGTCGTATACTCGCCAGGATGGGAAAGCAAGAGGCCATTTTCGGTCACACGAGACAGTACAATCCCAAGCATTCAAAAGTTTCAACGCCACGTTCATTGTCTTCAAAGAATTTTTCAGTGAAAGCAAACCCAGAAAGGCTCATCCGTGGGGTAGCATTTGCTTGACCCCCCCTCCAGTCGCCCAATATGCCGGTAGGCTGCATCAAATCAACTGCCATTTGACCTGGTACTAACCAATGTAAGGGAAATCCATAGTGCGTTTGTATACCTATTGGCAACTATTGATCCAAGAGATTGACAAGAGATTGCTCCCAACAAGGGCCGGTCCCACAGCAAACTCGGATGACATCGTCTTTGGTGATTTAACTTTGGAGCAAAACGGTGTGTGAGCTTCTGTCTCCTGCGATCATGGCGCTCCTTTTGCGTAGGCGGGATTGAGGTCTTGAGCCTGTCTTGTGCAGTGTTTCCCGTCTTCTTGGTTCAACCTTGCTTCTCTTTTGGGAAAGTTGCCAGTGAAGGTCCCGTGACATCTTCCCTTAATTCCCACTGGATCTTTCCTGCAGTGGAGGCGATAGCCTACAAGAGGTCATCAAGTTGCTTTCTCATGACCTTGGCTTTGCCTGCGACCCTGCAATGAAGAAGCAAAGATCGCGGTTCGGCCAAGATCGCCCAAACTGACCCTGACACTGCCAAGCCACCCTGCAGCTCATAGAAAATCGACCAAAAATCTTGGATCCCCATTCTACCACTAAAACAACCTTATTGCAACCATGGCCGACGAAGATCTCAACCCTCACGAGTGGGAAAAGCCCGCTTGGGCAAAGGATGGACCGAAGCTGAAGTCAACAGGAAAGGTCCGTTGATCTGCTTGTGGGTTTTACCATGGGTAGAAGTATCTTCCGTCTTTCTCTGATCGTTTTTTTCTTGTATTTTGTAGGCCGATAAAATGAAGGAAGGAAACTTGGCTGCTGAGATTACCCATGTGAACAAGAACAAGGATGCAAGTCGAGATATCAACGCAGCTGCAAACTCTGAGGTTTTGCATTCTGGAGGTGGCGGTGATGACAAGGACGTCTCTTGGGAGAAGCCATCATGGACCAAAGATGCAGGCTTGAAGAACACCGGTAAAGGTGAGCATCATCCAAGCATCTATACTGAGTTTTCTTGTTGATACCCCGTTTCTCACTTTATACCAACTCTCTCCTGGTTTCGCTTTCTGCAGGGTATGTAGGAACTGTTTCTTTAGAAGGGTTCTCAATGCGTCGTGCAAATAAAATAGTACCGGTTCTGGTATGGGCCGCTCTGAGAGGATAACTTGGATCTCATCCTTGCCTTTGCTCTCCTCTCCTCTTGCAAATGTAGTGACAAGATGAAGACCCAAGGAAATCTTGCAAGACCAATCACATTTCCCAGTGAGTACCTCTGCTATCATTCCTGTCTTCTTCGAATCCCCCTTTACATGTATTTGTTTGCTGACTGTTTATGAATCATTATCTGCATTTTTTACTTGACAGAGGGCAAGAACTAAAAGCAGCTCTGCCAAACACACTAAGAAAAACTATTTAGAGGGCTCATTGTTTTGGTACAAGGCCACAGAAATGGTTGCAGTGCTGTCGCAACGAGTATTATTGCCACAAATGTAATGGTCTAGAAATTTGTTTTATTTTGAAGTATTCATTCATTCATCCCCAGGGAAAGTGCAAAGGTGTATCACTCAGATAGTCGCCCCCGAGCCGTGTACACGGAGGAGTGTTGCTGTTTGCTTTCCGTTGCTGCTCAAGACACTATCCTGGTTAGCTGCTGCCGGTGAAGCAGGAACCTATGCAATCTGAATAGGTGCAGGTCAGGTCATGAAATGAAACAAGGGCAATCTTCTATCAGTCCGAGGAGGTGCGGCTGATGAGGTTGTGAACAAGACTTCGCTCGAACACGCATAGCATGGCCATGTAACCATGATAATTGGAAGCGACGGTACCCTTAGAAACTCATGTTCCTGAGGCTTTGGGGATTGAAGAAAAGGACTTGAGAGTCCCAGCTTATTTCCTTTTTGCCTCAAGCTGACAAATATTTTATTTTGGCCTGAATCGTTCGACTTCATGGTTTTAAAATGGCCATTGAAAGCTTCTGGCAGCCATTCCTTGGTTGCATTCATCTTGAATTTTACCCCTCTAGCAAGATCAGTTTTCTTAGCTGGACAGGGTGAGCCCTCCTCCAAGACTATGTCATCTAATGCAATCTCATTCGATTCTGATCAATTACAGAAGCCATTGTGAGCAGAAATAACGTGACTTTTTGAAACGGTGGGAACCCAAAAATGAACAAATTTCCAGTATGGTTCCTACTATTCAGATTTTAACTTCCATTACCGAGCAACGCAGCAAAAGACAGCGACCAAATTTATTGCCTTGGTTTCCATGAACCTGCTAGTACCCGTTCTACCGGTAGCAAATGGGGGAGATAACTTGACTTATTCCTCTTCTTCGTCATCCGATGGGACACCGCCACCGCTTCCGAAAAGAGACTTGGCCATATCGAAGTTGGCGTTTTCGTTCTTTTGGTTTCGCGAAACTGCCTTGGAATTCTGGTCTCGGTCGAATTGTTCCTTCCTGATCATGCCTTCCGTCGTCTCGGTGATGGTAACATCCTTGAGCTTGTTGATGGTATCCCGAGCTTCCTGTTTGCTGCTAACTTCACGGTCAAATTGTTCCTTACGAGAAATAGTCTCGGCAGTTTCAGCGACAAAGACATCCTTCATGTTCGCTTTGGTGGTTGTTCGAGTAGCTTTCTCGTCTTGTTCACGCTTGAACTGAGCCTCTCGCTCGAGTTCTTCCTTGGTTTGGGATGCCTGGACATCCTTCAAATTTGTCTTGGTTTCCTTTCGGGTTTCCTTTTCCGCCTTTTCACGCTCAAACTGTTCCTTGCGTTGCGCCGCCTCGAGACCTTGATCCGCACTCTTGTAGTTCCAGATGTCCGCCTTAGCCTTTCGCTCTCTCTCCGCCCTCTCCTTCTTTTCCAGCTTTTGTTTCATGGCAAAATCGAACGGCGACACCCCTTGGAACGCCTGAGCTCGCCATTCCTTCTTCTCCTCCTTCACGATAAGACTCGCGGGATCCTTGAAGGCAAACTTGTCGTCGTCCGCCATCTTTAGATTCGATTCGTCTGGTAGAAGGTAGCAAGCAACTGACAGAAGAGGATAATAATGAAGAAGGACTGGCCGAGGATCCTGTTGTGGTTGCGCTCTTGGCTCGGAATGTGGGAAGTGTGATGCGGCAAGGCGTGAAGCGGGATCTTGCTTGGATCTTGGGTTTTGCTTCCGCGTCTGCCCTGCCTGGCTGCGTTGTTTGCGCGACATCCAGGTCATCAACAAAAAGATTTAGATCACGGTCAATCAATCGAATGATGAGTCGAGTCGAATCGATTCAATGCAATCGATTCAATCAATCGATGCTTGACCACAGCTTTTGGTCAAGACAGAGAAGTGTGGGCTCTGTCGGCCTTTTAGAAAGGTACTAGTAGCCAGGAACCGCCGGTAGACTAAAAGGTAGACTACATGTAGGTATTGTGGAACCAAGAAAGATCTGGATACCCCAAATGGGGAGAACACTCCTCAAAAACCCACAACCCGTGCTTTCTGCACTACGCTAAAAGCTAGTGTGAAGATCTTTCGAGTGTTTTGAGTTTGAGAGAATGAAAGTTATGAGAGAGATTAGAAAGCTATGAAAACTAATCAACGAGAGAGATCATGATCAAGGGATCGTAGATCTGGTCTCCCGCGGGAGACTATAAAGTGTGATAGAGTAGGTTGCGGTAGTAATCCTACGTATCTCCACGATCCTAAAGCGGAACGCGTGGAAGATTTGTCTAGCATGGATCTAGTAGCGTGGAAGTACTCCACGCTGGATAAATATCTAGCACGATGTTTCATCATCAACCTAGTATGACTAGAGCGGTCATTGAGAACCCTGTCTCAAATGACTATTCACGAGAGACTCAGTCATGAGTCGAACTCAAACCCTATCTAGGATCGAGTCGCGAATAAGGCTAAGAGCCGTGTATTGCATTCGCCCCCTGACAAGGGTCACAGAAGGCGCGACAGCAGTCGGACAAGGAGAACATATGATTTTAAAGTGCGGGGCACTCTCATGAGATTTGGATGCAGACATGTGCGTCGCACGATGGCAATCCTACAAGGGAATCAGGCCTTGTATGGGTGTATATACCTTATGTTCCAAGTCTGGTAGACTGTGCCGCCATTGGCGGTAGCATGTCGGAGCCGTACAGTGCCATTGTCATTGACTTGGTCTATAGTGTAAGGACCTTTGTACTTTGGCTGACCGTACTTGCGGTGCTGATACTGTTGAATCATCACGGTATCGTTGACATTGTATTGATGAGGGACACGCGTCGCGTTTTCCCTATCGTTGTTTTGTTGGATTAGTCGCTGGCGACGTTCCTTGATGTACTTCCAGTTTGCTTCGAACCGGACGTTGTGAATCGCGTCACGATTGAACACGAGCTGCGCGGGCGTTGCACGCAAGGTGGTATGAATCGTGGCATTCATTGCAAAGCGAACCGCCGTGAGGACTCCATCCCAGGATCCATTCACGAGGTCGTCTTGGCACTTGATGTTTTGAACAGCGATCAAGTTGCGTATGGTCTGATGAGCACGCTCGACCATCGAGTTGGCTTGAGGGTTACGTGTGGTGATGAACTTGCAACGAAGTCCATATTCATCCCGGAGAGTCTTTTCGACCTCTGCGCGGAACTCACGTCCTCTATCCATGATAACCTCAGCAGGCCATGGATACCGAGTAAGCCACGTTTGTTCTAGGACGATGGCTACTTCATCTGCTGCCTTGGAGCAGATCTCTGCAATCTCGAACCATCCGGTTACGGGATCAATCATTGTCAAGCAATGGAGTGTGCAGGAATTCTTTTTCTTAGGATCCCCGACATTGTAAGGACCTATTAGGTCAATACATAGTCTTTCCCAAGGGATCTCCTCGCAAGTCTTTGGAGGCATCAATCCCAGCTTACGCGTTTTGGGTTTGTTCATCTGGCAGCTCTGGCAACGCTGACATATGGTCTGCACAGTCTTGCGCAGTCCTTTCCAGGTGTAGTGTTGGCTGATGGTCAGTTCTGTGCGAGTCTCGCCAGGATGCATCAGTACACCATGGTACCATTCGACTAGCTTCTTCTGCATAGTCTTGGGTACGACGATCTTGTCGCCTTTGACTACTAAGTCGTAAGACTTGTCCCCTCTGGGGAAAGATTGCTTCTTGTAGTCGTTTGGCTTGTCCCTGAGGAGTTTCTTGATATCGTTGTCGTCCTTCTGACGATGTTCGATCCCGGGGAACGAGAGAGGGAACTCGCTAGGGAAGTCCTCTTCGTCTGCAGCCATGAGCTCAGCGATCTCGCTGGCTTCCATCTGTTCTGAAGAACCATCATTGTTGGAGATATTAAGTCTCGACAACGCATCAGCAACTATGTTGTTTTTGCCCTTGATGTACCGTAGTTCAGGGCCGTATTCTTCCAGAATAAGGCGCCATCACATTACGCGATCGGTATTGAAGTTCTTACATGTAAGATTCTTGTGGTCCGTATGTAAAACAATCTTCTGTCCGAGAAGAATGTTACGGAACTCTTTTAGAGTTTCTACGATACTGAGAAGTTCCTTCTCGGTAACGGTGTAGCGTGTCTGAGCAGGGTTGAGCTTCCTGCTGTAGAAACGCGATAGGTTTTCCTTCTGGAAATTACTGCACCTAGTTGAGTATCACTCGCATCCGTGTGGATAACGAATGTATCGTTGAAGTCAGGGTAAGCGAGCAGGTTCTTTGCTGATGATCTTCTTCAACTGGCGTAAAGGCTTGTCGTGTTCGGCTTCCATTCCACTTCGTTGTTTTTGGAAGTCAATGAAGCGAGTGGGGCCAGTACATGTATTCGTCTAATCCACATAGTTCGATAGTAGTTCACTAGTCCAATGAATCTACGAAGTTCTTCTGTTAGTAGGGGGAGCGATATTCTGGATCGCGTCATATTTTCTTGGTATAGGTCTGGATCCCTTACTCGAGTAATCCAGTAACCTAAGAGTATTCAAGTTCTCCTCTCTGCGAAGAAGGACTGGTAGCCTTGATCTTAAGTTCCGGCTTCTCGAAGTCTTCCGGAGAACTTCATCCAATTTTTCAACGTGATCTGCCAATATCGGCCGTTGTTTAGGATGAGTAGATCATCATGGTATGCACGGACGCATTCCAGGTCCTGCATTAGTGTTCCATCTTCTCTTGGAAGATGTCGGGACTATTACATAGCCCATTGCAAACCTCTGGTAACTCCGTACTTTCCCACGGGAGTACGAAATGGTGCAGAGTTGCTTCGAGTGAGGTGACAGCTCGATGTGATAGTATCCCATGTTCAGGTTTAGACTAGTATCGTACTTGAATCCGTCTAGGTTTCAAGAGCCATGTCCTTAATTTTTGGGATAGGATAAGGCTTGCGCTTAATCCTTTTGTTTAGTTCCGGGAAATCAGAGATGAATCGTACAGACCCATCTTTTTTGGGAATGATAAAAGTTGGGTCCGCCCATTTCGGAGCGGTTCACCTTCTTGAGTGCTCCTGCTTCGCAGAGACGTTCAACCTCAATCTTAAGAGTGTTGGTATGGACACGTGGAAAAGGATAAGCCCTAGCGTGATAGGGTTTAGCGTCAGGGAGGAGTTCTAATTCGTAGTCGTCCACGTGAGGAAGAATGGGTTGGTCACGCAATTGTTTCTCTGAAGTTGCTGACGCATGCTTTCTTGAGCATCTTCATGGTGAAGGAATAGATTGAGGGTAGCTGAAAGCTATTGTGTTTTGTTAACAAAAATGCACTACGCTAAAAGCTAGTGTAAAGATCTTTCAAGTGTTTTGAGTTTGAGAGAATGAAAGTTATGAGAGAGATTAGAAAGCTATGAAAACTAATCAACGAGAGAGATCATGATCAAGGGATCGTAGATCTGGTCTCCCCGGGAGACTATAAAGTGTGATAGAGTAGGTTGCGGTAGTAATCTACGTATCTCCACGATCCTAAACGGAACGCGTGGAAGATTGTCTAGCATGGATTAGTAGCGTGGAAGTACTCCACGCTGGATAAATATCTAGCGCGATGTTTCATCATCAACCTAGTATGACTAGAGCGGTCATTGAGAACCCTGTCTCAAATGACTATTCACGAGAGACTCAGTCATGAGTCGAACTCAAACCCTATCTAGGATCGAGTCACGATAAGGCTAAGAGCCGTGTATTGCATTTCCTCAGCCAGTCAGCAGAGAGGCGCAACAACTACAGTCAGGGCGTAGAAAGGACTTGACAAGGGCAAGGCAATAATAACTGAATTAGATTCCATCTTTGACTTTATTCTATGACATACCTACCCGTATCTGGCTGATAGCTGAGGCTTTTGGGATGTCCACCGTACTAGTACAGTAGTCTAAGTGCTGGCGCTTTGGCTTGGTATATCGGCGGCGCGAGCGTCCCCGGCCGGCCAGAAGCCATTCGAGCTGGGATATGGGGCCAGTGAGAGTCCAAAAGCAAAACAATGTAAATAGCAAGATAAAAGAAAGAGGCAATGAGGTGAGAGGCTATGTGAAATTTGCATACAACCAGCGCAGGGATGGATCAAGCTTGTAGCCCTCCTCAACATCTATATGAGCGGGAAGTCAGCAGCTGCCTTGGTCACGGAGTAGTGCGCGTAAAATGATAAAGTGCTTTCTGGTACTGTAGAAAATTGTATGGGGCATCTAACTGCTGTTTGGAAGGCCTCAAAAAGAGTGGAATAAAGGTGCTGCTAGAACGTCACAGCTGCAAGGCTTGGTGCCAAACCGATTAAGAGTTAAGCAGATGTAAACCTACTCCAGCTATCTGTAGCTGCTCAAGCTGGGGGGTGAACTGTGTATTGCAAATGTCCAATTGCAAAACGTTGTTTTTGTTGACTGTTGGCAGTCGTTATTTTACTGTTGTACTGGGACTTTAAATAAATTTTTTCTAAAATAAAATGCAAAAATGAATCATTTTAATGTAAAAATATGATATTTTTGACGTTTTTACCAAACATATTTATATAGCTACATTGCACGACAACATTACGCGACTCTATTACAAAATTTATAGATAACTCTAACACATAAGAACATAGCTCTAACACATCAGATCACAGCTCTGACCCACAAAATATAGTTCTAATCGCAAAAATGTAGCTCTATTGCGCGAAAAATGTAACTCTAACGCAATGATGTATACTTCTATCACTCAAAAATATAGCTTGGCAGCTAAATTGCATGGCATAATACAGACAAAGTTCCACCTATGACACGACA